TCCCCATGCCCTCCCCCCCACGTTCCCCCATCGAGTCCCCGTGTCCCCCGCTCTGTCCCCATGCCTACCTTGAGGATGGGCTCTTGGTGCTCGGGGTAGGAGAACCAGACATCCTCAAGCTGGAGGTGGCCCTGCACGATATTGTGTTCCGGCTTCGCCGTGGGTGCCAAATGCTCCTCCTGGTCCAGGAACTCAAAGATCTTCTCTGAGGAGCCCACGGCCTTGGTCAGGTTGGGGTAGTGTCTGAGGAGGACCTGAGGACACAGAGGGGACATGGCTGGGACAGCATGGGGACATGGGGAACAAGCATGGGGACACCGCTGGGAGGGTGTGGGGATGGGGAGGACACAGGGACTTGGTGGGGGGACATGGGAGGGCACAGGGACATGGTGGGACCAGCATGGGGATGTGGCAGAGAGGATACGAGGACACAGCAGAGGACACAAGGACGTGGTGGGGAGGGCATGGGGACATGGGTGGCCATGGGGACACACTGGGACTGGCACAGGACACAGTGGGGAGGGTGCAGGGACATGGGGAATGGGCTTGGGGACACAGTGGGGAGGACGTTGGGGACTCGGTGTCCCCATGGGCTTACCTCCAAGGCCTCAGTGAACTGCATCTGGTAGATGAGGAAGGTGACAAGGTCCCCGGTGGTGATGGTCCCTGTGGCCACCAGCTGTGCCCCGTAGCAGAGGAGCCCCAACTTCAGGGCCAGCGCCGAGAACTGGGGACATGGCAGGGAGGTCACCACTGGGGGACACTGCCGGGGGGTGTCCCCATCACCCTCCTCACTGCAGCCACCTCTCTGCAGGGACACCGAGGTCCCAGCCTTGCTCTGTCACCTCCCCTGTGCCGTCACGTTCCCTCCATGTCCCAGATATGTCATGTCACCAGGATCCTGTGCCCCAGAGCCCCTGCGCTGTTATGCCCCATGTCCTGATGTCCCCACATCATGTCCCCTAACCCCGTGCCACCATGTCCCCATGTCCCCTAACCATCACACCATCATGTCCCTTAGCCACATACCACTGCATCCACGTCCCCTGTCCCCGTGCCACCATGTCCCCTTGTCCTCCATTCCTGTGCAATTACGTCTCCCAGCCCCATGCCACCCCATCCCCATGTCCTCCAGCCCCATGCCACTGTGTCCCCATGTCCCCCAGCCCTGGGCCATTATGTCCCCCTTCCCCATGCCACCACATCCCCATGCCCCACTGCTCCCACACCATCAATTCCCCCAGCCCCTGTGCCACCGTGTCCCGTGTCCCCATACCCCGCTGGCCCAGATGGTGGCCGCGTAGATGGCCGCCCCCTTCCTCTCCAGCCGATAGACATGACGCAGGCGCTGGTGGTACTGCTCGGCCGCCCCGGCCTCATGAGCGAAGCTGCGGACGGTGGCCATGGCCTGGAAAGTCTCCACTGCCACCTTGGTGGCGCCCGCCAGCCCCTCCTGCACCTGCCGTGACAACCCCTGGGGACAGCGATGTCACCTCAGGGCCAGCGGGCGCAAAGGAGAGGGGACAGGGGGAGCGGGGAGCGGAGAGCGAGGACGGGGAGGGGAGAGTGGGCACACGGAGGGGACAAGGGGTGCAGCGAGGGGACGGGGGCACATGGAGGGGACAGTGGGCATGGGGAGGTGACAAGGGGCACAGCGAGGGGACGGGGGAACAGGGAGAGGGTGGTGGGCAGGTGGAGGGGACAGCAGGCACATGGAGGTGACAGTGGGTGCACAAAGGGGACAGTGAACACATGGAGGGGACAAGGGACCCATATTATGTGTCCTCCCCCCGGTACCTGCTGGATCTTGCTGATGCCCCGGGGCAGCAGTAGGAGGACGGGCAGTGACAGGAGGGTGACAAAGGCCAGGCGGGGTGACAACCATGCCATGGTGACCAGGAGACAAACGCCCCGTGCCAGGTACCACAGCAAGATGTTGAGCACCTCAGCTACCGCCGAGTGGGTGGCCTCCACGTCCCCTGTCACCCTCGCCGTCACTGCCCCAGTCCCCATCGCCTGCAGGGAGGTGACATCCCATCGTAGGACGGCGGCGAAGACACGCCGCTGGAGACGTCCCAACACCCGGCTCAATGTCCCTGTGTACGTGACGTCACAGGCGAATTCGGTGACAGCGCTGTGGTGGTAGCACCAGAGTGGCTTAGCGTGGTGACATGTCTGTCACCCATCACCCCGTGTGACATTCCCGGTGTCACCGTCCTACCTGCTGAGCCCCAGCACGGCCATGGACCAGGCGGCCGCCACCTCGTCCTCGCTGGCCACCCAGTCGGTGACGTGCCCCATGAAGTAAGGGACGGCCACCTCCCCTGCCAGGGTGGAGGAGGGGTGGACACGGCGTTAAGGTGACGGGCCCCCCCCCAGGTCTGTGTCACCGTCACCCACCCCCCAGGGTGATGGGGACCCCACAGTGTGACCTCAAGGGGCTGGGGATGCACCCACCTGCCCTCCCCCATCCCACT